TGAAATTGAGTTTAGGAATATATTAGTGAGGGTTCCCCAGAGAAGCAGAACCAATAGGATATGAGAGGGGAAAGGATTTGTTTTAAGAAATTGGCTTACATGATTTGTGGAGGCTGGCAAGTCTAAAATCTGCATGGTAGGTCTGCAGGCTGCAGACTCAGGAAAGAGTTGATGTTGAAGCTCGAGTCTGAAGGTTGTCAGCAAGAGAATTCCTTCTTGCCTAGGGGAGGTCAGTCTTTTTGCTATTAAGACCTTCAACTGATTGGATGCTGCCCACCCACCTTATGGGCAGTATCTGCTTTACTCAGAGTCTACTGATTTAAATGCTAGTCTCATCTAAAAAATATCCCCACAGCAATTCTAGAATGATGTTTGGCCAAATATCTGGGTACTGTGGCCTAGCCAAGTTGATACATAAAATTATCGTAACATCACAAGGACTCAACTTTACAATTGCTGAGTCAAAAACATTTTTTTAAATGAGATTTTTGATAGATATTGCTAAATTGCTCTCTAGAAAGACTACTGTTTTCCATCTCCCCCCGAGAATATGAGACTGCCTGTTTTATTACACGCTAACCAACAGTGGATATTATTGTTCTTTTTTATTGCTAATCTGAACAGTGAGAAATGATATAATATATTGTGAGAATGAACATTTTTCATGTTTGTTGGCTGTGTGTATTTCTTCTCTAATGAATTTTCATTTCAATTTTTTTTTGCTTGCGGTGTTTACCCTTTTTTTATTTGTTTGCCTTTATAAACCTTTTATTAACAAAAGATAATAACTCTTTATCTTATATATTGCAGGGTTCCCCCCCTCCCCCCAGTTCATTGTTTACCATTTAACTTTATTTTGTTGTTGACTGGCCATTTAACATTTTTAATTTCTTATGAAGTCTTTTCTTTTCCTGTATAGCCAGCCAATCTTTATAGTTTTCCTACTTAAAGATTATACAAGTAAGGATTATTTTCCTGTACAATAAATAGTGTTTGAAAAGATGTTCTTGAATTTTCAAAAATAAATTAAACTATACTTATGTATTTTATTCAATAAGTCTGAGATATTTATTCTGGATGATGGGACTATGGTCGTTTATTTTATTCTTTGTACTTTTTAGTAACTTTAAAATTAAAAAGAGTAGTAGTAAGATAATTGGCTAATAAGTATTAAAAAGATTTCCATCCAAAATAGTTAAAATAAATTACAAAGTTTGAGTGTTTAAAGACATAAGTCTTGATTTTCTGGAGAATTTGGCCTCTAGAACCTTAAGTTTCAGAAAGCCTGGGATTATCATAGCAGCTTATTGTAGCAGTTTAGTGTGAGAGCCAAGGTTCTGAGTTTACCTTAGATCTGTGTTCATTGTTGCAGAAACCACAGTGATGGGTCTCAGTAGACAGCCCTGGCTGCCCTCTCAAGAGACCATGTAGCTTCTCACTAATGACAACAGAGGAATTTGAGTGTCCGAATAAAAATATGGATACACGTTACCTCCAGTGTGCCTGCGCATCATTGTGTCTGAGATAATGTATTCTTTTTTTTCTTTTTAGGTAGCAGATGGGGCAAATGCAATTGTGCTGGGGACACTGGGAGACATTTCCTCTCCTCTTGCAATTATTGGTGGAAATTGTGCTCTGCAGGGTTTTGATCATGAAGGAAATGATCTCTTTTGGACGGTATGAAGAATAAAACATTCTTTTTGGTACTCTTAAGCATTTTTATTTTTAATGTTGTTTTGTGTTTTTTTAACCACTGACTGTACTGAAAAATAAAAAACAAAATAGAACAATATTTATCATTCTGTATATTAAAAAAGGACATCAATAATTTGAATAACATCCATTTGTATAATCTTCTTCTTGTAGCTAATATATCTGGAGTAAGTGAAAAAAAGATGGCATATTAATGATTTTGGATTTTATTTTTAGGTTACTGGAGACAATGTTCATTCCTTGGCCTTGTGTGACTTTGATGGTGATGGGAAGAAAGAGGTATGTGGGAGAGGAGATAACCTCTCTTGTGTGTTCAGCTGAATAAATTTTCCCATGACAGTGACATTAGTTTTGAGAGAAGCGTTAGCTTCTCATGGCTGATTTTGGAGCTCTGTTGCTAAACGATGAGCTAACTGACCTCATTTGTCTTTCTCCTCTCTTTTGAACAATAAATCACTTGTGGTTGTCTAATACAAAGATCAAGGCCATGGTGTTTCAGAGACACCGGAGGTGACATTTCGTGCAGGATGATTTTAAAAAAAAAAGACACAGGAGAGGGCAGAGAGGGCAGAACTGTTGATGGGACCTCAGTTATATTCACAGCTTTAAAAACTGCCTCTGATACTTTGAAACTATATTTGTAAGTAGTGCTCAATTTTGGCCTACTTTTTCAGGAATCTAAAAGTCTTAGAGATTGGCTCTTAGCCTTTGAAATTTTTCTAATGGTTATTCTAGAAATCAGCTGCTTGTGCAGTAAGTAAGTGTGAAGTCCTGTGTTGGGCACTAACCTGCCCCTCTCTTGTCCATGGATACTGAGCTCTGGTGTTTGAAACAGGACTTCCATTTGTAGACAGAGGAAGTCGCTGAACCAGGGAGCATTTTTAGGTGCTCAGTGAAGAAATATGCTCTGGCAACATGTACAGCCACGTGGCAGGATAAAAGCTATAATAGCTACTTTTTCTTCACTGACTGAATCTGTTGATCCTCCCGTACAGGGAACCTTCCTGAGCATTGGATTACTGGGGGGGGATTGAAACTCTTGGGTGGCAGTAGGAGCATGCACGGTCTTATGCCATTTTTTGTTTTATTTATGGGAAATTTTACTGTTTTCACTTATTCAACTAAGTGTGTATGATTTTCTCCCCATTCAGCT